CCCAGCCCAAAAGGAAAAAAAAAAAAAAACACGCACAACCCCCAACTATTATAACACTTCTAAAAATAATTAAAAGTGGACGCTTTCCAATTTATGGCAGAACAATCATTCACATTTTTTTATTATTGGTTATAAAAGACAGCTATGATATTCCCTGAGTGCTCTGAGCTATCTGTCAGACTCTAGCTTATTTAAAATTGGGGTATGGTACAAGGCCTCTTATTAAATTAGCTGACACCTAGAGGACAGCAAATCAATGACTGCTGCTCTTGCTATCCAGGTAATCTTGTACTGCCATATTGCTGCTTCTGGTGTTTGATTAGAATACTGAAATATTAATGTGTTGTTGCATATGTAACCTACGGGTATTCTGATTTAACAAATTCAATATTCAGATAACATCCAATGATTCTTGATTCTCTGTCCTTAAGCAGTTCACAATCTAGTTGCTTCTACAAAAGGCACAGAGTTAGAAATGTTTATATGCATCGAGAGAAACAAATGAAAACAATATATGCCTATTGACACTGCCCATATTTGGCTTACCGATAGCTGAGTAATCACTTGCTGCAAATTACGAATTATTTCGACATTTTCCTTTAATTCCTGGTCTTCCAAAGTCTCCACTATCTTTTGAAGATCCAATTTGCAGCTGAAAATTCAAGCAAAGGAACCTAAGGGTTAATCACACTGTAGAGGTCAGAGCATCCATGATTATATACTAAGATGGTATAGGTCACTAACAAACATCTGGTAGGAAACTTACGCTGCATGCTGCCTGAGCTCTTCTAGTTTGGCGTTCATTTTTTCATTTGCTTGCTCTGTCTGCAACAAAGACCCAGGAGATCATCAGCAGCAGTGCCTAACAGCCTCACCTAATTATGCTTTCTCTCCTACTTTTATGGATTAAAACCTAGGTAGAGAGGCTGGCTCCTTTGCTATAATGGAGGATTTAGTGGGCTTTGGTTATTTAGTGAAAAATGTGTTTTAACAGAGTCATGGAAATTAACCCTTCAGTCAACATGAGCTACTAAAAATAGCATCCAAGCAGCTGTGTCTTGTGCTTGCCATGAAGCTCAGACTATGGGGTAGACTGTGAAGCCTTAATTCCACAAAGCACTTTGGAACTGGGGTGAAAAGCAACATCTCCTGGCATGCTACTCCCTGCTATTTGTAAAAATACACTTACTTTAAACTGCCTCCTACACCACAATGTTGCCTAGCCCCAGCATAAGGGCCTCACACTGAATTTGAGCTGAGATTTTTAAAAACTTACACTATCTGATATGGTAGGCTAGTTTTAGCAAAACAAGGCAAGAAAAATGGCGAAGCACAAGAATGATGATAAAGAAAGAAGAAATGGCAGAGGGCAGCTACATTTTGGGAAGGGTGATTGCTATTTTCAGTTTTATTTCAATCACAGTATCTAGAACATGCTGGATACTGCAAAAGAATTGGGAAGGAGAGTTTATATAGGACAAAAACGTGTTTGTCATGAAGTTTGGACAGGACACCAAACAATAAGCCTATCAGGCAGTCATCATAATAACCTTATAAAGGTCAGATGAGTATGTGGCTGGCATAACAAGTATTGTCAGTTATGTCATCCACACTAACAAACATGTGAAACACAGCTATCAGAGTCACTTTGAAGGTGTAAAGCACACCACTGGAGACAAAAAATGTGTGTAAAAATCCTGTAGATTCCATTTTTACCTTTCTGCTAGTAATGAACAACACAATGGATGCAGGATTTGGTCCCTTTAAAGAAATTTTTAAGCAGCTTACCCTTCCTTGACTAGAGAGCGCACTGATGAGTGAAAGTATGTAAGTTACAGATGTTCAATTACATTTTGGTGGAAATTCATTTTTGCTTCTGACAATAGTTGTGCTATCAAATATTGAGCTGTATTTAGACAAGTAGAAAAACGTTAGTAACAGAGCCAGCGTGCACTGATCCAGGAGGTTATCAGACAGGTGGTAGGATTCAGAACTAGTGTAATCAGTTACACAGTGATCCACTACTTGAAAATTAACCAATTTCACTAAGACTGGTATCTTAGTGAAGGGACAGTTACTTGGTATTATGGTAAGATTAGCCAGGACTTAAGGTGACAGAGGGACTTGGTTCTTTCCCTTCTGGTATTTCAGAACAAATCTATTTTAAAATGGGATTCACATAGTTCTTTGTGGCAGATATATAGGTGTTCACTGTATAATTCTTTCAACTTTTCTGTATGTTTGATTACAAGTCCATATATTTACCTCAGAGGGGCTCCCTGGATAATATGGTAATACTAATTCATTTATTTCACTATACCTATCTTTCATAATGAGAAGCAGGTTAAATATTTCAGAAAGTAAAGCTAGTAAATGTCCAGACTGCTAGTATATTTAGTCTTGGAGCCTCACCAGGATGATCCTCTCCAACATTTGGGCTGTCTGACCAGCTGCCTCGCTGAGACCACGACTTAATTTTTCATTCTCCTCTACCAGGGTCTGATTCTTCTCCATCAAAGACTGTAGATTCTCTGATGGTTCCACACTAAAACAAAGAAATTAACATATTAGAAAAATACCTGATTGATAACACCTATATCAAAAATCGATAAAAATATATCCCATAGGCCTTTTGGGTAGGGGTTGAGCCAAAATTATCCCACAGAAGTCTGGAAAAGTCTATCCAGCTCAATCTAAACTCCTAGTCAGGCAATATATTGGATGAACAAGAAACATATCCCTGAAATACCTCAAACTAATGGTTTAGATGAAGGTAATATTTCAGAGCCAGATATGGCTGCAACAGAATGACTAACCTCTGCCCCTTGGCCTCTTGGTTTAGGATTATTTTATTTGTGTCATGTAGGTAAGAGGTAAAGGAGCCCTGGTGGCACTGTGGTTAAAATGATCAACTGCTAACCCAAAAGTCGATGGTTCGAAACTACCAGCGGCTCCGCAGGAGAAAGATGTGGCAGTCTGCTTCCGTAGAGATTTACAACCTTAGAAACCCTATGGGGTTGCTATCAGTCAGAATCTACTTGATGGCAGTGGGTTTTGGGTTTGGTAGCTAAAATGTATGTTCTCTGTCTCTTCTTCTCACCCCCACTCCTTCATTAAAAATTAGTAAAGTAGGGAAGTAAGAGGTATGAAAGAGGTAGAAGTGAAACTGCTCAGGGTCAAAATTTAACCTGATCAGCATAAATTGATTACCTATCTACTGTAAAGTTTAGGGAAAGAGCATTGAAGAAGTCAGAAAGTTAAAATGATGACTGGCCACTAAAGCAAATTTCATGATTCTTAGTAAATGTAAGCACCCCGCTCTAAATGCTTAAGGAGCTCTGGTGGGGTGGTAGTTAAAGCACTCGGCTGCAAACCAAAAGGTCAGTGATTCGAACCCACCAGCCACTCTGCGGGAGAAAGATGTGGCAGTCTGTTTCTGTAAAGATTTACAGCCTTGGAAACCCTATGGGGTCGCTACAAATGAGAATCAACTTGACTGGCAGTGGGTTTGTTTGGTTTTGGTTTCTAAATACTTAAGGAGCTCTGCTGGTACGGTGGTTAAGCACTTCACTGCTAACCAAAATGGCAGCGGTTCAAACCCACCAGCCATTAGTGGGAGAAAGATGTGACAGTCTGCTTCTGTAAAGACTACAGCCTTGGAAACCCTATGGAGCAGTTCTACTCTGTCCTATAGAGTTGTTATGAGTCCGAATTGACTTGATGACAATAGGTTTGGTTGGTTTTGGTGTCTCAATGCTTGTCTTGCTTGAAACTGATGACCTGCCTTCTGTTCATTTGTCTATCAATTTTAAATTGCTTAGAGTGGGTGGTGGCGACAATGGTGTCCATTTCAAGTAGGAGTGGAAGGGAGAGACAGAAATAGAGTGAAGCACTACACATAGTAAGAACCTTTGGAAGTTATGCAAATTACTTGATATCATTTCCAGACTAATGAAGCAGAGCAATCAAAAGTTAAGAAGTGCAGTTTTGTTTTGTTTTGATCCACTGGCATGAAATGTTCAAAAGATTTGAAAATGGGGCTGGTAACAAAAAACCAGAGGAAATATGAAGATTTGATCTGAAGAAGGCTGAAAAGAAAAATGAATAGTCATCAAGGCTATGATAGAGAGAAAAAAAGGATTGAGAACAGCCGTTCTCAATCTCAATAAAGGCTAGAAAAGGATTTCAGGAATAGAGTAGATGCCCTCTCACCCAGCTTAAGACCTCTAAGATTTCTTATAGAAGATTTTGGCCTGTTCTTTATCAAACAGTTAATAGCAAGGCCACACAGTAAGATCTCATATTAGACTGTTGAGAATTAAATAAGACTCTTACAAAGGAATGCTCGATTAAAACTTGACTTACAAAAATAAATCACTGGTAAAATTTAGTGTTATTTTAGATTGCTCTGTTTCCCAATTTCCTTGTTCTTATTAAACTGAAAATTTCCATGCATCATTCATGTTGTGGATAAGCTGACAAGTTGGCAAGCTCAAGAGGTTTTTTTTCCCCTCAAAATTTCTAGGGTTCCTCTAAATGGAGGAATCATTTAAGTCAGTTGCTGACATTTAGGAGTAGGCTATTCATTGCCAATTTGAGGCTAATCTTTGAACATTTAAGTACCTCTACAACTAATAACATTTGTATAGCACTTATTATGTGCCAAGTTCTATTCTAAATGTTTTACATATATTAAATTTATTTATCACAACAGCCCTATGAGGTCGGTCCTATTGTCATCCCCATTTTCCAGTTGAGAAAACTGAGGCACGAAGAGGTTAAATAACCCAAAGTCACACATCTAGTAGGTGGTGGTGAAGCTGGGATTCCATGCTCATAACTACTTTGATGACTACAGACATAGGTACTAGAGGAATGCAGAGAATATGAGATTTAAAAGCTGTGGTAGTAAGGAAAAAAAAAGAGTTGGTGGCAAGATTGTAAAAAAGCAGTATAGGACCACAACATGAAATGGGACAGCCAATATGATGGGGAAAGGCTTTTAGAGTAAAGAAAAAAAAAAAAAGTAAAGCAGAAAACAGGGACAGGCAAAGATCAGACTGAAAAAGAAAATGTAATGAAAAGCCAATGCTTTCTCTTCCACATGCTATTTAATTGCTAATGCTAAGAATTCAAGTTACCTGAACATGTGTAAATTGAAACACTAGCAGAAAATCAATACAAAAATTTCAACGACACACATTCAAAAACAAAATATGATCCAGAGACTAAAAGCAATAATACTTCTATGTATAAAATGCACATTTTTTAAAAAGCCTTAAGACATAGCCCTAAAAATATAAATATACATTTTTGAGAAAAAGAGTTGCATCTTTATTTCTCTGTAATTCATTGAACAATTGAGTTCAACTGTTTTGATTCATCAACTGTTCCTTAGAAACTACCCTATGGGACAGTTCTACTCTGTCCTATAGGGTCGCTATGAGTCAGACATGACTAGACGGCAACAGGTTGCAGCTGAAACTATTTCCTATTGTATACTCTAGGTAGATGGAAGTTTCAAATAGTTTTCATTAGTCTTGTGATTCCCATTAGTCTTGTGTTACATGCAACAGGTCTGTGCTAAATTAAAAGGGAAGGAAGATGGGTCAATTGCTTCTAAAATGAGTACAATGAGATTAGGCCTTGATATCACTAAGGGACCCTAGATTTCCTCAGTTTTCCTTATTCAACACTCTTAGGGAATCCGGATTAAATTGCCCAAATGGGGAAAATTGGACAGAGAAGGGTGGTCATCTCTGTGTGATGGAATTATGGTACTTTTAATTTTTCATACTTTTCTAAATGTACTACAAGAAGCAATGTATCACTTCTATAATCAGAAAAAAAATCAGCTATTGAAAATGAGGATATTAAAAGAAAGCAGCTTCATACCACATACAAGAATAAATTCTCAATGGAAAACTGAAATATAAATGAAATTTTAAAAATAAAAACCATGTGAGTCCTAGAAGAAAACATAGGTTAATTCCTCTTTAACCTTAGTGTAGGGAAAGGCTTTCTAAGTATGAATCAAAATCCAGAAGCATGGCGAGAAGGTAAACAGTATAGCCACTTTGGAAAACAAACCAAGTTGGGCAGTTTTTTAAAAAGTTAAACATACGACCCAACAATTCCACCCCTAGGTATCTACCCAAGAGAAATGAAAATATATATCCATACAAAACACTGCACGTGAATACTTACAGCAGCATTATTCATGATAGCCTAAAAGTGTAAACAACCCAAAAGTTTATCAACTGGTAAATGGATAGACAAAATATGGTATATCCAAACAATGGAATATTTTTCGGCAATAAAAAGGAGTAAAATACTGATACATGCTACAACACAGATGAATCTCAAAAACATTACCAATAAAAGAAGTCACACAAACAAGATCACATACTGTATGATACCATTTATATGAAATGTTTTACTTGTTTATTTTTTGGGAATGTGAAAAATTATGATGGATCTAAGAGTCAGAGTGATACTCAGAGAAGTGTTATTCCCTTTTCATCCCTGCTACACTGTTCTCATTCTATTCTTTCTACCCAACCAAGATGTAGGAGGAATCTAAAATGGAATATAAACAGCAACCGTGGGAAACAATATCTTGACTGAATACTCTAAAAGTAAAGACAAAAAGAACTGTACATAAATGCTATAATCTGTTCATAAAAGTGTTTCTCACAGGGATGTGGGCTAGCAATTCTGAAACTACTCTAGGTATATACTAGAATTGGACAAATAAGAGATTGCAGATAATGAGAGCAGATTTTCTCACTAGTGGAGAAAAGTTTCTCACTGTTGGAGAAAGAAGTTATAAATAAGAGGAAGGCTAAAATGAACCTGAACCCTTCAGTGTTGGACTGGAATCAGAGGTATCAGAATAAACTCAGTTTTACAGATACATACATATATATAAACATATGTTTCCTAGCTCTATCTGCCGCCAGGGCCTAGAAGCAGTGATACCCCAGTAATAATGAACATACTTAGTGCCCAGATCTTGGTTTCTAAACACCATTCTGCAATAGAAAAAGCCAGGGCTCGTCGGACATATGATTGATTCCAAGACTGAGGCAAGGAAAATACAAGATGGGTGTGGAATGTCTGTGGAAATGCTCAAGAAAAATGAAGGCTTGTCGAAAAAACTTAAGAGCCAACCTGAAGGAGCTCCTAATGGACAAAGCAGGAACAATTTAAGAAAATAAATAAATAATGATAGTATTGGATGTTAACCCATAGAATAAAACAAATATCCATGAGTCTATACAGATGTAAGTAAACAATCAAATAAGTGGGGGAGAAGAAACAGCTCTTCCTCACAGAATTCCAGTTAAATATCTGAGGCCAGAATCTCTTCTACATCTCTTTCTATTATACCAGGCTGCCTTAAAGATAACTAGCTAAGTCCTAAACAGTCAGTAAACTTTGGTAAGATCCCTACCTTGACACCAAGTGTTACCAGAAACTTCAGTATATTAGGTAAAAACAACTATTGGAAGAAACAGTTATACCAAAAAGAATTGGTTGATGTTCAACCATTTCAGGAGGTAGCACACGATCAAGAACTGATGGTACTAAAGGAAAAAGTCCAAGTTGCACTGAATGCATTGGTGAAAAACAAGGCTACAGGAATTGACAGAATACCAGTTGAGATGTTTCAACAAATGGATGCAGCGCTGGAAGTGCTCACCTGTCTATGCCAAGAAAGACAGTGTGGATCATAACAAATTATGGATAACATTACGAAGAATGGGGATTCCAGAACGCTTAATTGTGCTCATGCGGAACCTGTACATAGACAAAAAGGCAGTCATTCGAACAGAACAAGGGGATACTGCGTGGTTTAAAGTCAGGAAAGGTGTATGTCAGGGTTGCATCCTTTCACCACACTTATTCAATCTGTATATGAGCAAATAATCTGAGAAGCTGGTCTATATGAAGAAGAATGAGGCATCAGGACTGGAGGAAGAGTCATGAACAACCTGCGATATGTAGATGACACAACCTTGCTTACTGAAAGTGAAGAAGACTTGAAGCACTTATTGATGAAGATCAAAGACTACAGCCTTCAGTATGGATTACACCTCAATATAAAGAAAACAAAAATCCTCACAACTGGACCAGTAAGCAACATCATGATAATGGGAGAAAAGATTGAAGTTATCAAGGATTTCATTTTACTTGGATCCACAATCAATGCCCATGGAAGCAGCATTCAAGAAATCAAACAACACATTGCATTGGGCAAATCTGCTACAAAAGACCTCTTCAAAGTGTTAAAAGCAAAGGTGTCACTTTAAGGACTAAGGTGCGCCTGACCCAAGCCATGGTGTTTTCAATTGCCTCATATGCAGTTAAAGCTGGACAATGAATAAAGAAGATCGAAGAAGAATTGATGCCTTCGAATCATGGTGTTGGCGAAGAATATTGAATACACTATGGACTGTTAGAAGAATGAACAAATCTGTCTTGGAAGAAGTACAGCCAGAATGCTCCTTAGAAGCAAGGATGGCAAAACTTCGTCTCACATACTTTGGACATGTTCTCGGGGGGACCAGTCCCTGGAGGACATCATGCATGGTAAAGCAGAGGGTCAGCGAAAAAGAAGAAGGCCCTCAACGAGATAGACTGATACAGTGGCTACAACAATGGTCTCAAGCATCACAACAATTGTAAGGATGGCACAGGACCTGGCAGTCTTTCTTTCTTTGTACATAGGGTCGCTATGAGTTGGAACCAACTCGATGGCACCTAGTAACAAAAAATAAAACATACATTTAAAATTATTCTTTGACTCTTACTTGATAGATCCAGGCAGGGTACCTCCGTGGGCTTGCAGCAACAAGACCTGCAGTTGTTGTACCTGGAAGAAGCAAAGAAAAATAATCAGCTAGTCACCAATCAAAAGGTATTCCTTTACAGCTAAATTATCACAATTTGCAGTAAGGTAATTTTACTTGATGCCTATGAAATCTAAGGCAAATCTTAAATACTATCGAAAGTACAGAGAACTTGCCCAAGGTACACAGTTAGTGAGTTATTAAAAATCAAGTCCACTTTTTTTGACACCAACTATGAAGACAATAATCAACATAAATCAAAATCCCCACTTTTTATTTCTCTCCCACTTTTGATGCCAGCTGCCCATGTAGCACTTCTTCCTCTAATCCTAACCACCTGGAGTTAGGTTGGATCTCACAAGTTAAAGGACATTGTCCTCCAGACTGCCAAGTCAGCCCAAGACTTCAGATGCCAGCTACAAGCTTGGGAGTCCTCAGGGCTTCCCTCACTTCTTACCTGCTTGCTACAAATTCAGAGTTTTCCTACTACCTCTTCAGTGCCAGCCATAAGCTTGGGAGCCCCCTCTCCCCATCCCCCGCCTTACTTCTGACTTGTTATTGTTATTGTTAGGTGCCATTGAGTTGGTACCAACTCATAGCAACCTTATGTATAGCAGAAGGAAACGTTGCCCGGTCCTGCACCATCCTCACAATTGTTGCTATGTTTGAGCCCATTATTGCAGTCACTGTGTCAATCCATCTTGTTAAGGGTCTTCCTCTTTTTCACTTGCCTTCTACTTTATCAAGCATGATGTCCTTCTCTAGGGATTGGCTACAAATTTGAGGGTTTTCTCTACCCCCTCAGATACCAGCCATAAGCTCAGTGGTTCTCAGCCCCTCCCCTCATCCCCACTTCTGACCTGCTGGCTCCTCACTACTCCTTCGGGTTCAATAATTTGCTGGAATGATACATAGAACTTGTCGAAAGTGCTATACTTATGATTCAGTTTTATTACAGCAAAAAGGATACAAATGAAAAGATGCATAGGGTGAGGTCTGGGAGGGCTCCCAATGTGAAGTTTCCATGTCCCATAAAGGGACATGTTATCCCCCATCATGTGCATCGATGTCTTTCGCCAACCAGGAAGCCCATGGAGCTTCAGTGTCCAGATCTTTTATTGAAGACTCATTATAGAGCCATGATTGATTGGGTTATGGCCAGGCCAGCCCCCACTGTTTGGCACAAACCCTCAGGTGTGGTCTGGAGGCCTTAGATAACAATGGCACCTCAATTACTCAGGAAATTCCAAGGGTTTAGAGTTCTCTCTCAGGAAACAAGGGCAAAGACAAAACTACTTTGAGTAAAGTTAAATACTTTACCCTACAGTTATAGAGCCATAATTTGAACTCAGGCAGTCTGGCTGTACTGCCAATGCTCTTGACCACTATACTTCGCTACATGTGCCGTTTTTTCTCCTTGGAACCCTCTTCCTCAAATGTTGCTGCCTCAGGGAAGCCTTCCCAGACTAGACAGATAACAGAAAACCCTGTTTCATACTTTCATAGCACCCTGCTCTTTTCCTTTATAGCACTATTCCAGCTTATATTTATATATCGGTGTGATTATATATTTAGCATTTGTCTTTCCCACTAGGCAATATGTTCCATGAAGGCAGAACTGTGTCTGCTTTGCTCAACAATGTATCCCTAGCACAGTACCTGGCACAAAATAGTGCTCAATAAATATTTGTTGGAGTGAATGCATGAATAGAAATAAGAGCTTTTTTGCCAAAAGGAATAAACATGAAAGAAAATAGGACAGAATGGAGTATGGTGTTTTATAACTCAAATGATACTGTAGACAAGTAAATTATTTATATTCTCTACAGTGACCCCTAGGAGTGAAGGAGAATGGGAAGGAAGAAAACAGATTAACTGAATAGTAATTGTTAACACTGAGAAGGAAGGCCAGGGAGGGAGTGAGCATTGGACAGTTGGGAAACACTAGATTTCCAGTGGAAAGAGTACTATACCCTGTAAGGTAAGAAAACTTGACCCCACAAGCCTTGATCAATCCAACTGCCTGACTTCCAGCTCCTTTACCAGGGCTACCAAGCTGTTGCACAGACAGTCAAATTGATACCAATGCAAATTCATGTTTCTAGTCAGCTACCTCTTCTTCCATTCCTGCTAAAAGTGATTTCAAAGCCTTCTGTAGTCTCCTCAGGAGCCCTGGTGGTGCAGTGGTTAAGAGCTCGGTTGCTAACCAAAAGGCTGGCAGTTCAAATCCACCAGCTGCTCCTTGGAAACCCTATGGGGCAGTTCTACTCTGTCCTATAGGGTCGCTATGAGTTGGAATCAACTGGACAGCAACAGGTTTTGGTTTTGTAGTCTCCTCAAGCCCTCTATCCTATTATCTGCCTGCTCACTCCTAGAAGATGACCTTGCCTCCTACTTTACTGAGAAGATAAAGATCATCAGGCTGAAAATCCCTCAATTTCCCTTTTCCTCCTCCCTCTAAATGTCTCTTGTCCTTTTCTTCTAGTCTTGGGGGCAAGTCTAAACCAAATCCCATCCCCCTCCATGCTCCAGATTCAACTACTTAGAAACCACCCTTTATCAATAGCACCTGTTCCCAGTTTCAGTCTCTCCCAACTGGTTCTTCCAGTTGTTCAAGTCTCCTCCATTATTTTGAAAACCAACCAACCAACATCCCTTGACCCTGGGTCTCTACCTAGCTACTGCCTTCTCTCACCTTGCCTTCTTGAAAGAAGAGCCTATCAACTGACTCTACTTCTTCACTCTTCACCCCACAAAAATCTGCCTTCTGCTCTTAATCATTCCACTGAAACTGTTCTCATCAAGATCACCTTGTTGATACAAATCAATGGATACTTTTCAATCCTTATCTTACTTTACACTTCTTTGCAAATTTATGTTTTGACTACCCTCCTTGAAACTTCTTCCCTTGGCTTCCATGACACCACTCATTTTCTTCCTAATTAATTGCCTGTTCCTTCTTAGTCTCTCTTGTTATCTTCTCTTCCTTTCTTATTCCTTAAATGTTGGTGTTCCCCAGAGTTCTGTCTTTGGCCTTCTTCCCCTTTTGCCATTCGTTCATTCAACAACTATTTAGTCAGTGCCTTTAATGTGCCAGGCACTCTTTGATCTCATCCATCCCATAACTTCAGATATCATCTAAATGTTGATGACTCCCAAATCTGTATCTTCAGCTCAGACCTCGCTCCATTAGACCCATACAGCAAGCTACATTTCGAACATTACTACTTAGATGCCCCTGAAATCCTTCAAATTCAAAATGCCCAAAACTGAATTCATCATTGTTTTTTCTCTGACCCTGTTTTTTTCTCCTGTATTCCCTGACTCAATGATTGGCACTACCATTTACTTGGTTGTCCAAACAAGAAACCTGGGATTCAAGCTTGATTCTCCACCCCCATCCTTCTTTTCCCACATCAAATTTGTTACCAAGGTAAGCTCTATACAAGGAAACATGGTGGAGCAGTGGTTAAGCGCTCAGCTGCTAACTGAAAGGTCAGTGGTTCCAACCCACCAGCTGCTTTGCGGGAGAAAGATGTGGCAGTCTGCTTCTGTAAAGACCGGAGCCTTGAAAACCCTATCGGGTAGTTCTACTCTGTCCTCTAGGGTTGCTGTAAGTTGGAATCAACTCAACAGCAATGGGTTTTTTTAACGGGAAGCCCTATACATTCTACTTACTGTTTTTTTTTTTTTTTTTTCTAATTTGTTCCCTTCTCTCTATCTCTATTGCTTACTGTCTTTAGTTCAGGCCACAGTTCTCACCTGGGTCATTTTAACACCCTAATTTATTTTCCTACTTCTAGTCATCCCACCTCTAATCCACTTTCTTGACACTTGCTAGAGTATCTCCCTAAAACACACATTTTATCATGTAACCTTCTTACTTAAAACTCTTCAATGGCTCCCCATAGCTTTCAGGTTAAATTCCAAATTCTTTATCAAGCCACATAAGGGCCTTCAGGATATGGCTGCTGCCTACCTCTCTTGCCTCATTTCTCACCACTCAATTGTTTATCAGTAAAATCTCCAGTGCCACCCCCGAATCTCAAATGGACAACAAACATGTTAATAGTAGTTACTTTAAGATGTCCCCAAACTAACATAATGCCTAACAAACATCTCTAAACTTCTGATAGAGGAGAAACTGAGAGACAGAAGCTTTACCACTCCACTCATGTATTTGTAATTTTTCCCATCAAATTTTAAGTCCCTTATACCTGTTGCTTCAGATGATTAAGTTCAGCTGTCTGGGGATCAATATTAACAACAGGTTTGTTCTTGATTTTTCTTGCTCTGTCAGCATAGCGAAGGGTATTTAATGTTTCCTCTAGATTGGAGTCAGCAGGACTCACACAGGCTATCATAAGAGTATGGCTATTACCTCCTAGAGAATCTGAAAAACAACAATGGAAGGAATTGAAATTAACAAGTAGGATGCAAGCAAAACTGTCTATTTGGGTTGGCTACTTCAAACTCAGAATTACAAGAAAAAAATCTATAAATTTTCTGTTTGCATCAGTATGAAAACACTAAGCTGTCTGATGTGTAAAATGATATAGTTTAGAATCTTGCCCCCATTCTTGAAAGACAGTGTGATTTCGGCAGTTAATCAGGTTAAAACAACTAGGGCCTGGCCCAAATAAATTAGGAGCCACTACTGGAATTAAACGTTCTTAGGATGCCCCCTTAAGGTGAATTTCAACTCTCCAGGGTATTCTGCTTAGCATCACTAATACTTAAAAAAATAGTAACCAAGTTCATTTTCAGGTGCACAGTACTAAGCACAGGTGACACTCTACAGACATCTTGGAACTCAAAGCCATATGGGAAGACACCTTTCCATTATCTTAGAAGCCTGGCTGACAACAGCTCTCTTTCCTATTTATCAACTAGATAGCTGTGTATATGATAGTCCAAATACCTGGCTTTTTACATGTTCCATCATTGATTTGTCAGTGCTATCATTCTCTTATTTTTAGAGGAACTTTGGGCTTACCTTGAAGTAATCGAGTTAACTTGGAATCTCTGTAGGGCACAAAACCGCCCTTTTTGTCATCTCCAAGAGCACTGATTACATTTCCCAAGCACAGGAGGCCTCGGTTGATATTAATACCTAATGGCAGGAAACAAGATTTAAATTGCTTGGTAAAGCATCTAGCACATACCCACATTTATCCTGAAAAAGATAAAAGAAATAAAGACCCCATAGAAACTTTAAGTCATCAATCTTGAAGAAACTTCTTAATCCTTTCCACTTTTCAGTAAGTGCCTCTTTAAGTTCAAAGGACAAAGGTCCAAATGTTGGATAAGCACAATTGAGTCTATTGGCACTTCTTGCCCTTTTTCATGTAAACAAAGCAGACAGACAGATAACTATCACTATAACAACAACCATATGTATAGATATTTAATTTCTATGCCTATTATCAGAGCCCTGGTGGCACATGGTTAAGAGCTTGGCTGCTAACCAAAAAGTCATCATTTCTGATCCACCAGCTGCTCCTTGGAAACCCTATGGGGCAGTTCTACTCTGTCCTATAGGGTTGCTATGAGTTGGAATCGACTCAATGGCAACAGGTTTGGTTTGGTTTTTTTATACCCATTATCACACTTCCTCCTTAAATTAATGCTATGAAATTGGATGAACAGCTATTTTTATTATCATTATTTTTATTGTCATTCTCATTTTACACATAAGGAAACTAACTCAGAGGTTAAATGACTTGCCTAAGGTCAAACAGCTAGTAAGTGGTGAGACCGAGATTCTCAGAATTTCAGTCATCAAATCCTATCCTCTTTCTATTATGCCACACTGAAATACTTTCCCTCTGGTTGCTTTAAAAAGGGTAAAAATTCTTTTGAACTTCACTTAATAATTTTGAGGCTTGCTTTTTAAACATTATAATAATCTTAAGGTCCCTCTAAACCACCTGTCTTATGCTGGGTTCTCTAGAGAAGCAAAACCAGTAAAGTGTATAAATATATATATAGAGAGAGAGTCATATCAAGGAAATGGCTCACGCAGTCATATAGGCAGGATTGTCCCAAGTCCATGGGTCAGGATAGAGGCTTCTCCTGATTCATGTAGCCGCAGGGGCTGGCGAACCCAAGATCGGCAGGTCAGAGAGCAGGGCTCTTGCTCGCAGGATGTGAAGATCAATGAATCCCAAGATCGGCAGGCAAGACTGCAGGTAAACTGCTAGCTCAAGTCCCAAGAACCAGAGGTCAGATGAATAGGAGCCAGCTGCAGGATCCAGCATGAGCAAAAAGCCCTGCTCTCTGATCTGCCTTGTTCGCCAGCCCCTGAGGCTACATGAATCAGGAAAAGCCTCAATTCTGACCCACAGACTTGGGAAGTTCCAGCCTCTACAACTGTGTGAGCCATTTTCTTGATATAAATCTCTCTATACATACGTATTTATATGCTTCACTGGTTTTGCTTCTCTAGAGGATCCAGCCTAAGACATTTGGTGCCAGAAGTGGGGTCTAGAGAAACAAAATTGTAAGGATGAGTTTTCTAAATTGGTTCTCAAGTCTGGTTAGTCTTAAAGATGTTGATGACTCTGCTTCCAGTAGTAAAGAGGGCACTGCTACTCCATGGGGTGAGGTGGCAATTCAAATACGTAAAATATCACCACCAATAGATCAGGTATTGGTGAAAGGCGGGGCTCTGGATGATTCCAATTTTCTACAATTTTGTCATAATGAGAAGTATAAGGAAGCTGGTTGGTCCTACTTTTGCTAAACAAACTCGTGAAAGGGATGCTCTCAGGGCTTCGGAGTCAAAGCTCAAGTGCCACATAAACAACCTCAAAGTTTCCACTTGTGCTTTGAAAGAAAGTCTTATTTTTTGTAGTAACAGAGCTGATATTGCCGAAAACCAAACCCAGAGTCTTATTGTAAGACTGGCTGAGTTACAACGCCAACTCAATTGCCAACCTCAAGAGGTGTCTGAAGTTAAAGTGACGGCATTGATTGGGAAAAAATGGGATCTTGAAATCTGGGATGGGGACCTCATACAAACAAGAAAGCAGTGCCAGAAGTAGAGTGCGTCTTTTGGACCCAGGGTTCCTGCGCAGAGAAGCTCCTAGTCCAGGGGAAGATTGATGACAAGGACCTTCCTCCAGAGACGACAGAGAGAGAAAGCCTTTCCCTGGAGCTGATGCCCTGAATTTGGACTTCTAGCCTACTAGACTGTGAGAAAATAAACTACTGTTTGTTGAAGCCATTCACTTGTGGTATTTCTGTTACAGTACTAGATAACTAAGACAGCACCTGACCTCCCATTATTATGTTTACTGTGGAAAGGCAATTGTGATGGTAAAGATTGTGTGTGGACTTGGCTGGGCCATGATTCTCAGTGTTTATATGTGATCACTCCCATGACTGAATATGCTGTGAGTAGCCAATCAGATGAAAGGGAGTTTCCTTGGGGGTGTAGCCTGCATCTGAATATAAGCAGACGTTCTGGCTTTTTGCTCACTCTGGATCCTGCGGCTGCCTCCTGTTGTCTCACCTCCGGTTCCTGGGACTTGAGCTCTCAGCTTATCTGCCAAACTTGGGATTCGTCGATCTTCACAGCCTGTGAGCAGAGTCCTGCTCTCTGACCTGCCAATCTTGGGTTCACCAGCCCCTGCAGCTACATGAATCAGGAGAAACCTTGCGGTCTTGCCTGCCGATCTTGGAATTCGTCAACCTTCACAGCCTGTGAGTGGGAGCCCTGCTCTCCAACCTGCCGATCTTGGGCTTGCCAGCTTCTGCAGCTGTGTGAATTGGGAGAGGCCTCTACCCTGATCCACGGACTTGGGACATTCTAGCCTCTACAATCGCGTGAGCTGTTTCCTTGATATAAATCTCTCTCTATATATATTTATATGCTTTACTGGTTTTGCTTCTCTAGAGAACCCAGCCTAAGACAGGCAATATAGTATAATGGTTAAGTGCATGGGGCTTTGGTGCCTGACAGACATTCTAATCCTGGCTCTGTCACTGACTAACTTCATGATCTTGGGCAAGTTCCTCTACAAATTGAAGCAAAGTTACCTATCTTATTAAGTTGTGGTGGGGGATTAAATGAGATACTGTCTACAAAACAAAGTTAAATGATGAATAAATGGTATCATCGTTAGCTCTACTATACACTTTACTCATTCATACTTTGGACTCCCTTATAACCGAAAACAATTATTTCTACAAGATCCTGAACTCCAAAATTCTTCTCTGACTGCATCCTTCAATCCATCCATTTCTTTCATGGATCTTGTTCTTCACCCTTATTATGACTACCAATTTACCGATATTTTCTAATACTCCCAGTACATCAGCCTCTTCTGGGCCTTAAACTACCTATTCTGAACCTTGTGGTCAATCATTTCCGTCATGCTTTTCGGGGCAGTCACTGGCCTTATGGCCTTCTGCCATTCCCACCATATCAATTCCCAACCCTAGGTTAAACCAACTTTATATGTCTGTTTTTTCTCTACACTGCAATGCTGATGAAAATCACATAACCAAATGAACTAGATCCATTAAAAAACATGCTATCTGGTCTTAGCTGAACTAAGTCAATTGGCATTTTTTTCTTCCCCATTCCTACTTGACTAATCTTATTAGTAGGTGATTTCACCAAATATTTTATGGAGATCAAAGTTATCCACAAGGCTTCCTTCAACTTTTCTATCCCCACCTCACATTCTTTCCTTCGCTGTTACTGAATCCTTTGTCCTTCCTCTTGTTTCAGAGGAGGAAATGCTCACCTTTATTTTCAAGGCTCTGCCTTCTGATTCTGCCTGTGTTTCTACTCCCTCCATTTTCTCTGGGACCCTGCTCCTTTGATCTTGCTCCCTTTCTCTTAGATCCTTAATTTATTTTCGCTTCACTAATAAACAAAACAATTCCCTCAAGCAAATATCCCTTTCTTTTCCTTTTATTGCAAATTGGAAGGGGTACCATTTTGCAGGGCCATTTACCTACCTAACATGTAAAGGAGAACCTGCTAAGATTTATCAAACCTGCTTGCAAATAACTACGTCTATGGTATTGGTCTGTCCATTACTTTATTTTCTTTCCTTTTATAGACCAGCAGCCCATATCCCATTAGTGATGTAAAAGAGAGACAACCGAGAATTGTAAAACCTGCTGAGCAAAAATCTTCCATCTATAGTTTCATATAGGAATTTTTAAAAATTCCAGATGTGACCTGGGAAGAATCTATAAGTTCTATGATATAAGCAGGATCATAGACTTAAGGACAAAACATTTGCCATTGAGTCGACTTCAACTCATGGCAAGAGGGTGTTTTTTCTTCTCCAACTGAGAGTTCAGGTTTTGGACTAGAAAGGAGCAAAGGGAAATGAATGGCTCTCTAGAAAGAAATCATCACAAAGCAGGATTTAATTTCCTGTTGCTTCACTAACCTAATAAGTTCTTGACTAGGGACACAGTGGAGTCCCTGGGTGGTGCAAATGGTTAAACATTTTGCTACTAATCAAAAGGTTGGCGGTTCGAATCTACCCAGAGGCACCTTGGAAGAAAGGACTGGTGATCTACTTCCAAAAGATCACCGCTATTGAAAACCCTATGGAGTACAGTTCTACTCTGACATAAACGGAGTTGTCATGAGTTGGAATTGACTTGACAACTAGTGGTGGCAGAAGGATGGAGTATTACATCACGAAAACCGGGATGAACATGTTTGTTGAGACTTAAAAGTTCTGATTAGGAGGGCTAAGGAGAAAAATGCCTAGATAAAATTATAAAACCAGAAGTTCTTCTTCTCTTTTTAAGATTGAGAAAATTTTAAGTGGGGAGGATAGCAAGACTACTACCCAATAATTTTAGGTGTTTGTTCATTATAGCAAAAAATAAGTAATAAACTACAGATTTTAACTTAAAAAGGAACATATAACTTCACAAGTATCACACAGGCATGTTACAGTGTGTTTCACAATTGGACTACAAGAGTATTGTGATGGTTAAGATTGTGTATCAACTTGGCTGGGCCATGATTCTCAGTATTTATATGTGATCACTTCCATGATAGGATCTGCTGTGAGTAGCTGATCAGTTGAAAGGCAGTTTCCCTGGGGGTGTGGCCTGCATCCAAATATAAGCAGACGTTCTGGCTTTTTGCTTGCTCTGGATCCTGCAGCTGCCTCATGCTCTTGGGACTTGAGCTATCAGCTTATCTGCCGATATTGGGATTTGTCAATCTTCACAGCCTGTGAGCGGAGCCCTGCTCTCTGACTTGCCGAT